GGAAACCTGATTTCAGCTGCAGTTCTCAGACTGTGATTGGACAATGAAAGGAAAAGACTGATGATGACTATCTCTGTCACTCTGCTCTCTGCCCCTATTGGAGTGCTCCTCCTGCACTGCAGCACTAGGAACTGGCTCCTTGTGCTGCATGCCCCTCCCCCAGTCTGAGCTTTCTTATATAAGGACTTGCAAGAGGCTGATATCAATGACATGCCTGGAGTTCTGCTTTAAACCGCCCCGCTTAGTTTTTTTTATTTGCCATCTGTATCCGGTTCAAAAGATTCCTTCTCACTTCCTGCCCTGTAGATACAGATGTAGAATGGAGGTGAAGAAACTTCCCAAAAAAATTAGAGAAATCCCTTTTTAATACGGCACCGAACAACACGATGCGGCGCTGGTACTTTGGTGCACCATTCTAAATGAAAGTGGTACGGCACAAAGTGCTGCGCAATACCCCAGCAAAGCAGGCGTCACCGAAACACATAGGTCCAAAGGGGCCCCTATGCGTACTGGAGCTAGTTGCACTTATTAATGAAGTCCCATGATGGTAGGTATACACCAGGGGTCTGCAAACTTTCTAAGCAAAGGGTCAGTTTACTACAGTTTTTAGGGGGGGGCGGATCGGAAAATAACTCGGCATCAGTGGGAGTAAACAGTGCCCCATCTTTGATGCTAGTGCTAGGAATTTTGCCCCATTGATGGTGTCACTGGGTGAAATTGTGCCCAATCATTGGTGTCATTGGGCCCCATTCTTGCTATAATTAGGATGAACTGTGCCCCATCATTGGTGTCATTGGTGGGAATTGTGCCCCATTGTTGGAATCACTGTGAGGAATTTGTTGGTGTCAGTGGATTAAATTGTGCCCCAAGAGCCAGATAAAATAAAGTAAAGGGCCGCATCCGGACCCCGGGCCGCAGTTTGGAGACCACTGGTATACACCAATAGTGGCCACTGTGGGACTCGCTATAATATAATTTATGTTCTGCTAAGAGAACCATTGTAGCCAAAGAAGCTGTTGAAATTATTTTCACAAGGAGATATTTTGTTTCATTCTAATACACTCAAAAAAATGAAAGTTCTCCACTCACCCAGTTATCAGGACAGGGGTTACGAAATATAATGGTCACCGACTTCCCTTGATGAGAAACCTCCAGAAGTTCGGCCTGTACATCAAACATCTTGACCATCTGACTGATCTAAAGAGAAAGTCATTTCTAAGTTACAACACTCTATGCACACTGACCAATGCTGGGCTTCCTTACAAGTCCAACACTGATGTACGCTGACCAATGGTGGGGTTTCTTACAAGTACAAAGCTGATGTATGCTGACCAATGGCGAACCTTCCTTACAAATATAACACTGATTTACGCTGACCAATGGTGGGGTTTCTTAGAAGTACAAAGCTGATGTATGCTGACCAATGGTGAACCTTCCTTACAAATATAATACTGATGTACGCTGATCAATGGTGGGCTTCCTTACAAATAAAACACCGAGGTATGCTGACCAATGGTGGGGGTTCATTACAAGTCCAACACTGATGTATGTTGACCAATGGTGGGGCTTCTTACATGTACAAAGCTGATGTACGTTGACCAATGGTGGGCTTCCTTACAAATATAATACTGATGTACACTGACCAATGGTGGGGTTCCTTACAAGCACAACACTGATGCATGCAGACCAATGGTGGGGGTTCCTTACAAATATAATACTGATGTATGCTGACCAATGGTGGGCTTCCTTACAAGTACAAAGCTGATGTATGCTGAACAATGGTGGGGTTCCTTACAAATAAAACACTGAGGTATGTTGACCAATGGTGGGGGTTCCAAACAAGTACAAAGCTGATGTACACTGACCAATGGTGGGCTTCCTTACAAATATAACACTGATGTATGCTGACCAATGGTGGGGCTTCCTTACAAATATAACACTGATGTATGCTGACCAATGGTGGGCTTCCTTACAAATATAATACTGATGTACACTGACCAATGGTGAGCTTCCTTATGAACATAATACTGATGTACACTGACCAATGGTGGGCTTTGTTACAAATGTAATACTGATGTACACTACCTTCTCCTTCAGGTCCTCCTTGCCCTCCATCTTCTCTCCTGGATAGTCAAACGTGTTGGAGGCTACAAAAGAGGCGGCCAGTTCAGCCGCCATCAGAGCCGCCAGCCCTCTGGCCACCATTGTTGCCCCCTTTCCAGGTAGGTCCTTGCAGGATGGTCTGATATTAGTGGTCACCATTTCGGTGAGTTGGGCCCGATAGTCATCGGCTACGTCACCTTCCGGAAGGCAGAGGAACGGGGTGATCATCCTGCAGATCTTTTCTGCTGCATTTGTGCTTTTTTTTCCATGAAAGAGATCCTGAAAATCTTGATGAGACTCGGGGGATACCTATAAAATGGTATGATACACATCCTTCTCCACATCAACGCACATTGACACTGACATTCACCAAATATTCACTGCGTGTGTGTTTTCACCCTTTTACTACTATTCACATATGTCAGCAGCAACTGCCATTGATGTACTGTATGCCATACATCCCACAGCAACTGCCACTGATGTATGTCCTACGTCCACAACAACTGCCACTGATGTATGTCCTACGTCCACAGCAACTGCCGCTGATGTATGTCATACGTTCACAGCAGCTGCTACTGATGTATGTCATACGACTACAGCAACTGCCACTGATGTATGTCATACGTCCACAGCAACTGCCACTGATGTATGTCATATGACTACAGCAACTGACACTGATGTATGTCATACATGCACAGCAACTGCCACAGATATATGTCATACATCCACAGCAACTGCCACTGATGTATGTCATACATTCGCAGCAACTGCCACTGATGTATGTCATATGAATACAACAACTGCCACTGATGTATGTCATACGTCCACAGCAACTGCCATTGATGTATGTCATATGACTACAGCAACTGACACTGATGTATGTCATACATGCACAGCAACTGCCACTGATGTTTGTCATACATCCACAGCAACTGCCACTGATGTATGTCATGAATACAGCAACTGCCACTGATGTATGTCGTACGTCCACAGCAACTGCCACTGATGTATGTCATATGACTACAGCAACTGACACTGATGTATGTCATACATGCACAGCAACTGCCACTGATGTATGTCATACATCCACAGCAACTGTCACTGATGCATGTCATACATCCACAGCAACTGCCACTGATGCATGTCATACATCCACAGCAACTGCCACTGATGTATGTCATACGACCACAGCAACTGCCACTGATGTATGTCATACGTTCACGGCACTTGCCACTGATGTATGTCCTACGTCCACAGCAACTGCCACTGATGTATGTCATACATCCACAGCAACTGCCACTGATGTATGTCATACGTCCAGCAACTGTCACTGATGTATGTCCTACGTCCATAGCAACTTCCGCTGATGTATGTCATACGACTACAGCAACTGCCACTGATGTATGTCATACGTCCAGCAACTGTCACTGATGTATGTCCTACGTCCATAGCAACTGCCACTGATGTATGTCATACGACTACAGCAACTGACACTGATGTATGTCATACATCCACAGCAACTGACACTGATGTATGTCATGCATCCACAGCAACTGCCACTGATGTATGTCATACGTCCACAGCAACTGCCACTGATGTATGTCATACGTCCACAGCAACTGCCACTGATGTATGTCATACAACCACAGCAACTGCCACTGATGTATGTCTTACATCCACAAAAACTGCCACTGATGTATGTCATATGTCTGCAGCAACTGCCACTGATGTATGTCATACGACTACAGCAACTGCCACTGATGTATGTCTTACATCCACAAAAACTGCCACTGATGTATGTCATATGTCTGCAGCAACTGCCACTGATGTATGTCATGTATGTATGTATGTCCACTGCAATGGGGGGCTCTACAGCTGTCAGTTCACCTCCACTGACTCCCGGAACCTGGGTCCTCTTCCCCTGGTTGCCTGAATCCCCCTGAAACCTGCATCCCCCCAACCCAGCTGGCACTGTTGTATGTCATGCGTCCGCAGCAGTGGGGGGGCTCTACAGCCTCCAGTGCACCTACCCCAGGGTACCCGGAACTGCCACTGTTTTATTCTCCAGGGTCTCTGCTTCCAGAAAATATATCAGTTTTGGGGTTTTAACTAATCGTCGGGTCTAAAATGTTTTTTTGTTAATCTGTGTGAACCCCAGAGGATGATTGGCTGCCTAATGATATAAATAAATTGCTGGAGATCGGCGGGAGGCGTCTCCATCCATCAGTGCAGTACAATGCTCCTCTGCAGACCCCCCACCACTCACCAGGTAAATGCTGAGGCAGCCAATCAAATTGAAGCCAGTGGACAGCCGGGAGATCTCAGAGGGGCTCAGCAGCAAACGCACCTGTGAAGACAGAAGATCCCAACTGAAGGGTCAAAGCTACAGACACCAACGTCACAAAGTGCCCCCCAAACCTGAACCTGACCACCAACCTCCCCTCCAGCCTTGCACAGGTGTACCGGCCTCCCCTCCCCTCCAGCCTTGTCCGGCTCCTCCCCTCCAGCCTTGTACAGGTGTACCGGCTCCTCCCCTCCAGCCTTGTACAGGTGTACCGGCTCCTCCCCTTCAACCTTGCACAGGTGTACCGGCTCCTCCCCTCCAGCCTTGTACAGGTGTACCGGCTCCTCCCCTCCAGCCTTGTACAGGTGTACCGGCTCCTCCCCTCCAGCCTTGTACAGGTGTACCGGCTCCTCCCCTTCAGCCTTGCACAGGTGTACCGGCTCCTCCTCTCCAGCCTTGCACAGGTGTACCCGCTCCTCCCCTCCAGCCTTGTACAGGTGTACCGGCTCCTCCCCTTCAGCCTTGCACAGGTGTACCGGCTCCTCCCCTCCAGCCTTGCACAGGTGTACCGGCTCCTCCCCTCCAGTCTTGCACAGGTGTACCGGCTCCTCCCCTCCAGTCTTGCACAGGTGTACCGGCTCCTCCCCTTCAATCTTGCACAGGTGTACCGGCTCCTCCCCTTCAGGCTTGCACAGGTGTACCGGCTCCTCCCCTCCAGTCTTGCACAGGTGTACCGGCTCGTCCCCTTCAGTCCTGCACAGGTGTACCGGCTCCTCCCCTTCAGTCTTGCACAGGTGTACCGGCTCCTCCCCTCCAATCTTGCATAGGTGTACCGGCTCCTCCCCTCCAGTCTTGCACAGGTGTACCAGCTCCTCTCCTGGACTGGAATGTCTTCCTCTGATGTCACTGCACACTGTGAGCTTCTCACAATGTGCATTAGAAGCTGCAGCCAGTACGATAGAGCTCTGCCTCATTTCTTGGCTGGAGGACGCCCAGCATCATCTAGTTCTTTCCTCCCCCAGCCTTACTGTCCCTTGCTCCACCCCTTTTTTTTCATTGGATTTCAGTTATTTCGTAGATGAGCTGCATCACATGTGGGCGTTACCTATGCAAATACAGCCTGCCTAGGAACGCCCGCCCTTCCAGATGGGCACCCGCCCATCAAGGTATATTGATATTCGCACAACTCCTCCTCCCCGCCGTATGTGGCAGGGTTGAGAGCTCTTGAAAGGAGTACTGAGGCAAGGGGCTGTGATAAAGCTGTGCCGGCCCCTCCCACCAGCCATGATCTTCCTGCATTGCTTAGAGACAAAAAGAGACCCAGTGTGTGGACATCACAGGGTCTAAAATAAAGCATTTAAGTTTTTTTTTAAATCATCATTAGCATGTTGATGGGGGAGGGGAGGGGGGAACCAGGGAAGCCAAAATAAAAAATAAATAAATAAAAATATATAGTGTACACACATTTATATATATATATATATATATATATATATATATATTCAGCTTAAAAAGAAATTTGATATATATATATATATTTAAAAAAATAATAATACATAATAATATATATATATAAATTCAGCTTTAAAATGTTATATATATATAATTTTTTTTTTAAATATATATGTATATATATATAATATCTTTTTAAGCTGAATATATATATATATATATATATATATATATATATATTTTTTTATATATATATTTATCTAGTTTTTTTTAAAATAAATATATATATATATATATATATATATATATATACACATATTCAGCTTAAAAAGAAATTATATATAAATAACATTTTAATGCTGAATATATATATATATATATATATATATATATATATTTATTTTTAATATACATATATATATACAGTTGCAAGAAAAAGTATGTGAACCCCTTGGGATTACGTGGAGTTTTGCACGAATTGGGCATAAAATGTGCTCTGAACGTCATCTAAGTCACAACAATAGAAGAACACAGTCTGCTGAACATAATACTACACAAACATTAGAGGTTGCCATGGTTTAATTGCACATAACATGTAAACATTCACAGTGCAGGGAGGAAAAAGTATGTGAACCTTTGGACTTAATAACTGGTTGACCCTCCTTTGGCAGCAATAACCTCAACCAAACGTTTCCTGTAGTTGCAGATCAGACCTGCACAACGATCTGGAATCATTTTGGACCACTCCTCTTCACAAAACTGTTTCAGTGTAGCAATATTCTTGGGATGTCTGGTGTGAATCGCTCTCTTAAGGTCATTCCACAGCATTTCAATGGGGTTGAGGTCAGGACTCTGACTGGGCCACTCCAGAAGGTGTATTCTGTGCTGTTGCAGCCATTGTTTTGTTGAATTACTTGTATGCTTTGGGTCATTGTCCTGTTGCATCACCCATCCTCTGCGGAGCTTCAGTTGGCGGACAGATGGTCGTACGTTTTCCTGCAAAATGTCTTGATAAACTCTGGAATTCATTTTCCCATCAATGACAACAATCCGTCCAGGCCCTGAGGCAGCAAAGCAGCCCCAAACCATGATGCTCCCTCCGCCATGTTTCACAGTGGGGATGAGGTTTTGATGTTGGTGTGCTGGGCCTTTTTTTTTTCTCCACACATAGTGTTGTGTGTTCTTCCCAAACAACTCAATCTTGGTTTCATCTGTCCACAGTATATTTTGCCAGTAGTGCTGTGGAACATCCAGGTGCTCTTTTGCAAACTTCAAACGTGCTGCAATATTCTTTTTGGCCAGCAATGGCTTCCTCCGTGGTGTCCTCCCATGTACTCCATTCTTGTTTAATGTTTTCCTTATTGTAGATGTGTCAACAAAAATGTTACCATGTGCCAGAGATTTCTGTAGGTCTTTAGCTGACACTCTGGGATTCTTCTTTACCTCATGCAGCATTCTACGCTGTGCTCTTGCAGTCATTTTTACAGGACGACCACGCCTAGGGAGAGTAGCAACAGTGCTAAACTTTCTCCATTTGTAGACAGTCTGTCTTACCGTGGACACATGAACATCAAGGCTTTTGGAGATACTTTTGTAACCCTTTCCAGCTTCATGCAAGTCAACAATTCTTGATGGTAGGTCTTCTGAGAGCTCTTTTCTGCGAGGCATGGTTCACATCAGACAGTGCTTCTTGAAACCAGTAAACCCAAAACAGGTGTGTGTTTTTTTAAGGGCAGGACAGCTGTCAGCAACACATCCAACATCATCACACTGATTGGAGTCAAGGTTGGCTCACTCCTGGCTCCAATTAGCTCTGGGAGAAGTCATTAAGCTAGGGCCTCACATACTTTTTTCCTCCCTGCGCTGTGAATGTTTACATGTTATGTGCAATTAAACCATGGCAACATCTAATGCTTGTGTAGTATTATGTTCAGCAGACTGTGTTCTTTTATTGTTGTAACTTAGATGACGTTCAGAGCACATTTTATGCCCAATTCATGCAAAACTCCACGTAATCCCAAGGGGTTCACATACTTTTTCTTGCAACTGTATATATATATATATATATAATATATATATTCAGCTTTAAAACAAAATAAAAAATTTATATAATATAAATATATATATATATATATATATATATATTTTTTTTTTTTTTTTTTTCTGCTTTTAAAAACCTGAATCCAGACAAAACTTTTTTTTTTTTAACTTGTATCTTTTTTAAAGGCACAGACCATGTCATTATTATTGTAACATCCCCTCACTTCCTGTCAGAAAATGAAGATAAATCTCTCCAGTGGGGTCCCTGTCCTGTTGCCTTCTTGTCTCAGTGACAATCACATTCCATATTTCTTGGTGTCACAGGAACAGGAAGTGAGAGAAATTTCCCCAGTTGGGGTATCAGACAGAAAAAAAAAAATGAAAGAAGTTTGAACTTTTCCTCACTCTGTCCAAAACTAACAATAAATGTTTGTCTGGATCTGGGCTGCACGACATTCCTACAATCTAGATCTCTATCCCATGTCTCTGACTAGCCTCCATCTACTCCTACAAGGACGGATGATATCGCTCCTCACCTCCCATTCGCTCCCAGTTGGACCGGTCACAGAGAAGACTTTGCTGGAGCCGCCATACTGGAATATCTTCTTCTTCTCCAAGTTCTACCCAAATAAAAGAATATATAAAACAGATGAGTTGTAAAGAGGACCTGTCACCAGAAATGTTTTGTATGCTCAGCAATGTGTTTACTAATACTAATACTTCAAGAAATTATTCATTGACCTGATGGTTTGGTGGTTTAGGTCGGGGTTTCTCAACCAGGGCTCCATGGAATCCTATGGTTCCCCCAGAGGTTGCTAGGGGTTCCTTGAGCAATTCCTGCTTCTCAGATAAGTTCCCATTGACACCATTGATCTTTTTAGGTATCTATAAGTGGGTAATTCTTCCCAATGGCCACAAGTGTGAGGAACATTCTTCCCACCGACTATCACACGAATGTATTATGAGTTGTAGATGTAGTCATTTTTATCAGGGGTTCCCTGAGACCACAAAGTTCCTTCAAGGGTTCCTCTGTGTTGAGAAAGGTTGGTTTAGGTAGACCTTCACTCTACATAGTATTGGTCAGTCTAAAGGAGCTTGTACAGGGTTTTACATATAAAAACCCTGAGACCGGAAAGTTCCCTGAGACCGGAAAGTTCCCTGAGACCAGAAAGTTCCTTCAAGGGTTCCTCTGTATTGAGGTTGGTTTAGGTAGACCTTCACACTACATAGTATTAGTCAGTCTTGTACAGGGCAGGGGCGGACTGACCATTTGGAAACTCGGGCACTGCCCGAGGGCCCGGGGTCAGTAGGGGGCCCCATGAGATGCCCCTGGTACCTTTTTCATAGGCTTTTTTGAGTTTGAGCAAGAACACAGGGGCCCCATGATCCCCTATTGCCCGGGGGCCCCATGAGTTGTCAGTCCGCTCCTAGTACAGGGTTTTACAAATAAATTATAATGTGTATGGCTGGCTTTAGACCTTCCCTAATCCCAAAAATACTGACGATAATTTTTGCTAAATTAGGCGGGGAACCCCTTTATGTGTGGAAGTTTCTCACCTTTTCAAGGCTTTTCTTGTCATTCGGATCCTGTAGAAGGTGGCATTTACTTTTCTGATTGGTGATGATGTACAAGCATTGGTTGTTTGGTCGGGGAAAAGTCAACGACACTGACGTTTTATTCACCGTTTTATTGTCTTGGAGCTCGAAAAAACCAAGACCTCGGAATCCATCTACAGACAAGAAGGTAGTTGTTAAAAGTACTATATAGCCGAAGACTAAAAAAAAAACAAAACAAAGGAAAATAATTAAAATAAAATATTTTATTTAATATTTATCTCCAATTTTCACTGGTAACAAGAACACGAGACCTCAGATGTCCCTCCAAGACTCTCTCTTGTGGATTTTCTTCTGGTACATCCTTACTCCAGCTTTTCAGAAGAGCAGATCTTTGTCATTTCGATGTACAGAAAAGTAGAGGTTTATATAGGTCAGATCAGGGGCGGACTGACAACTCATGGGGCCCCCGGGCAATAGGGGATCATGGGGCCCCTTGTGTCCTTGCCCGAACTCAAAAAAAGTCTATGAAAAAGGTACCAGGGGCATCTCATGGGGCCCCCTACTGACCCCAGGCCCTCAGGCAGTGCCCGAGTTTCCAAATGGTCAGTTCGCCCCTGGGTCAGACATAGAATAGGACCAGGGGCGGACTGACCATTTAGCCACTCGGGCACTCGAGTCAGTAGGGGGCCACATGAGATGCCCCTGGTACCTTTCATAGGCTTTTTTGGGTGTGGTTTGAGTGTGGGCGAGCACACAGGGGCCCATGATTTCCTTTTGCCCGGATGCCCCATGAGTTGTCAGTCCGCCCCTGAATAGGACCATGGTTTCTGGGAGGGTTCCCAGATATCAACGTTCTGGACACAAGTCCTACACTATATTTATGGTATCACTTCCATACGAGTGGCCAAGAGTCCATTAATATGTTTGGTGAGGTCCCGATTCATGTGATCACTGATTGGCCAATCAGCAGGGGCGGACTGACCATTTGTAAACTCGGGCACTGCCCGAGGGCCCGGGGTCAGTAGGGGGCCCCATGAGATGCTCCTGGTGCCTTTTTCATAGGCTTTTTTGAGTTTGGGCAAGGACACAGGGGCCCCATGATCCCCTATTGCCCGGGGGGCCCCAT